AAAATATTAGAAAAAAATGATGGGTTTTCTTGTGCTAATAACAAAGTTGTTATCCTTTCAGTGTGGGATATATTTGTGATTTTTGCTTGCTGTTTTTTTTTTTTTTTTCTTTCTGTTGTCAGCTCCTTATATGAACAAGCCTCATAGCGCTGGAGGCCCTCAGAACACACCAGCAATGGAGACTGGAGGTCACCCTTTCACTTGTCCACAGCCTGCACTGTCTACTGTTTCTGAACTTTGTCGTATTTGTTCTCTTGTTGGAATGTCACAACCGGATTTCTCTTTCCTAAAAACACCACAGGTAAAAAGCTTTTTCTGCAAAGGTAAAGTTCTATATCTTGTTTTAACTGTCCTATATTAAACATTTGGACTGAGCACTGAAATACATCTGAAAATCAACCTTAGCTCCTTTTCTTGCCTTTTTTCTAAACAAATAAACCAATCCTTGGTTTCTATCTCACAGTTTGTCTGTAATACAAATGCACTCAAAAATCTTATCTCATTTTTCTAGACCATGACAGTTTGTCACATAAAATTATCAAATGGTTTGTTGGTTCATGGACCGCAGTGTCATTCTGAAGCTGAAGCAAAGGAGAAAGCTGCACTTTTTGCTTTACAGCGTTTGGTGAGCATGCTAAGAATCTTTTAAAATCTTTGTCTCTCTTGCATTGCATGTGTTTATAATCCTCTGTGTCCTTCTTCATAGAGTTCTATAGGAGTGAATTTCCCTTTGCCTCCACCTCCGCCTCCACCGGTGTTTCCAAATTATCAACCTCTAGGGGTTCCTGTACCACCTGGGTCTATTCCTCCAGTATTTGCACAACCCCCGGGTAAGTATTTGGCTAAATATCGTCATGATATCCTGTGTTCTTTATATGGAAATTAGTTGTCATCCAGAAAACTCCATTTTTGGTCTTCTTGTATGTAGCTGTTTGAACTGCTTTGAAAACAGTTCATTAACCTCTTCTCATCAATATGCAAATTAATTCAATACAAAGCATCACACATCTCCCAATTATTTCTTTTCCTTAAAATTGTATTTGTCCATTCAATCCTAGTTGTTTTTTTGTGATTTTTCTTTTCCTTCAAAACAATAGTAATTAGTTCAAAGCTGATAGTTCCAGTTCAGAATTCTTGAGAAATCTCTTTTTTGATTTTTCTACATGGATTTTTTTTTTCCCCCTGTGTACTTAATGGTTATCCGTGCATTAGTGTTTTTATTGGTTTATAACCAAGTTTTACTGAAGTACTGCCTCAGAATCCTATTGTACACTGCCAAACGTTAGCATGGTAAGTAACCCCCCCTAAAATTGCTGGAAACTGTCTGTGTTTCTGGTTCCTGTCTATTTTGTATTTTACTAAAGCTCACATTCACAGCTAGTAATTAACGAGTCAGCAGCATTCTAGCATCCTAATAACCCACACAGCAGCTGCTACATCTCTTTTCCCCAGGGTTTCTATATTGTTGACTTGTTTCAAAAGGATGGCCTACGCTAGCAGCCTTCTCCTCATGCAGTTGACTCAGCTGAGGATGTGAAGATCCTAAGTTTTATGTGTGCTCTGAAATGCAGATGCTGTGACTTAGTGCTCCTAATGGTGCAGTCATCTAGGGGTGGTTCTGTAAAAGCAGAACAGTTTGTTTATGACTTTTTTGATCATAAATAAGTACTTCCCTGTTTTCAACTAAATATGAAGAATATGAGGCTTTATTGGAATGAGAAACACCATGCAGACAAATGTAGTTGGGGTACTTCTGAGGTCTTGGGGCGTTTATATCCTTTTTTTGAGGAAGGAGAGCTCAAAGTTCTTTATTTTCACAGCTAATATAATGCCTCCATCATCTCACATGTTTGGTCCAGTGTCCTGGGGAACTCCGGTGCCTAAACATTATTATCCTGGTTCCTATCCAGGAAACGTGTCTCTTGCAGGAACTATACCAGTTGGTTCTCACAACCAGTTTATACCTCTGCAGGTAAGATTGGCAGGTTTGTCTTAATATTCTATTTCTGTAAAAAATATGCCTACATGATGAATGCAACAACACCCCCACTGTGAAGCACTATTTAGTATTAGAAAATTATTGTAAAAAATCGTATGCATGTTTTCTGTAAGTGGAATATTTGCAGTTTTGTTGAGAATGCATTTTGTTAAATAATATTTATTTAATTTAAAGGTAACTAAAAAAAGGGCTGCTAGCAAGAAAAACTTTGAGCTCAAGGAGTTTCAGAGTTCCCCTCAAGCTGCACCACTAAAGAATGAACAGCCAATGTCTTCTGACCACATTCAGCAAGATAGTTCTTCAGCTCCTTTAAAATCTCCTCAAGCTGCTCAATCCACTGTTTCATTTCAAGACAATGTGGCTACTCCAAGTGCTCCTCATAACAAATCAACACCAAACACTTCCAGCAAGCGAAAGCCAAGAAAGCTGGCTGTCAATTTTGGCGCACCAAAATCTTCAGAATAAATATGGTAGCTAGGTGTATTTTATCTTTAACTCTTCCCCCACTGTTATGTTCTATCATTTAAAAAAATCAGAAAGCTCTATTAAAAAGACCAGCCACTTTAAGTATAATATAGAATGAAATAAATTTTATTTGCTATGATTTTCAGGTTGTTACCAAAACTATAAAATTTATGTTAAAACTTAATTCTTTTGACTTAAATTAGCAAAAGCCAGGAAATGCTGAGTTAAGGTTACCATGCCATCCATTGTGCCTAGGTTTCTGAACAGTGGCTTACAGACTATACTGGGTAAGCAGCAATAACAGTGGCAACCTTAATTCAGGATTGCTGTGCTTTTTGGGAGGGATATGGTGCGGTAATAAGTTGGGCATCAAAGATTGTTTAGTATGACATTTTGTATTCTAGCTTATTTTTAAATAGCGTAATAAGACAGAAAGGAAAAATTCTTTAAATGCAGCTTTCATATTGGCTCTCCAGGTCATTCCGAGTTGAATCAGTGTGACTAAAACCTAACTGCAGTGGAACTGCCAAATTTCCTGTAACTCTGAACTGTTAGGTTTTATACCACAGGGCAACAACTTTACAACTTTCAAAATGTAGGTATTATTGTATCTCTAGTATTAGAGTGGCAAAAAGTGATTGCTGATGCAAAATCTCTTCCAGGAGACCAATTTATAGGATGTATTGAATAAAAAAATATATTTGGGAAGTAGAGACCTCTTTAGTAAAGTATGTTGAATTTTTTTAAGCTAGCAGCATTATCAACTTTGTTGTTTTCTGATGACAAAATAGCATAGCTATCTAGTGCAGATCTGCATATCCCCCTAAAATGCTAGGGATATCCCGATTTTATTTTTTTTTCTAAATTATAAAAATGGGCAGAGTTTAAAGATGTCTGCATAGAATGGCTGTCAAAGTAATGTTTAATTAGAGTCCACTTCAGACAAAAAGTTTACTTGTATTTTTGAAGGGAGCTATGTTGTAAAAGAAGTAATTCTATTCTTAATTCATATAGGAAAAAAAGAAGGCTCAAAGGTCCCTGGACTATTATTTTTAACCCACGTGTTCCGTTCTTACTGACATTAATAAGAAGTGTTCAGTCTAAGAGAAAATTTGAAGCCTCAGTTGGTGCTGTTTACTGACGATTAAACTTCATTTTTCTTCTTTATTCTAGTCTTTTCCAGAAAAAATACTTTTCCTCTAAGGCCCAGGAAGCTTAGAAATAAAGCATGCTTTAGTGATTCATTTTGTCAACTCTGTTAGATCTGCAAGTCTGTAGACTTTCTTTCAGTTCCCCTACCTTATTCTTTGCCTCCATTTATTGCATTTTTTTATATTGATTTCTGTGAAACAGTTGTTGCCTCAGCAGTATTTGTAGAATAGCAGCAAGCCCTGTAAAAAGGATCACAGAGGTAAAAACAAGGTTAAGAAATTTCATTTTATTTTACCACGAACCTTGTAGAATAATCTATATAAAGTTTTTCAGTACGTTGATTTTGTTGTTCTATTTATAGCCATCTAGTCTCAAGAGAGTTTGAGGCTGTATTGCGTGAAGAGCAAGTTGTATGTTTTGATGATTTATGGCCCTTAGTAATGCGAGACTGGCATGATGCTGACACGCCAATGTTTTAGAAGTGTTTATGTGAGATTTAGTTAGAGACACAGATGTTAGTCCCCCGTATACTATATGAATTATCTGATCATCAGAGAAAAGATCTGTTTAGAAATTCCCGTGATGGAGATGAGGCTGTTAGATTCTCATATCACCGAATCTTGTCTTCTTTAAACTTTACCACAGGTGTCATCATAAAAGACTAAGTAGTTGATGATTGATAAACATATTGTAGTTTCTGTTGGAATTCTGAATTTTCTCAAAATTACCAAATTTTGACATATCTGGATAGCCAATTCATGCAGGTTTTTTTAGAAACAGTTATGAAGAACACTGTTCTCTTAACATCAGTAATTTTCATTATTAATTACCTTCTTCAGACTATGACTTCCTCTCCCTCTTCAAGTAGAATTGCTATATTTAGTATATATAGCTGGTTAAACACTTAATTCTGTAACTGCTGCATATTGTATTAGTCCCTGGTTTTTAGTTTATGTATTCTGTGATACTGACTGCCTGGTGCCCAGTTAATTACAGTTTTACATGTCCTGGTAGATGTAACATCTGCATTGACCTATGCCATGTCCCCTGTGATTTCAGTTTTTATATTTTAACAAGGTGATTATGTTTAATTCATGCAGATATAAATTTAAGCATTTGTTTTTCTCATAGATGAAAAGTATTTTGTAAGCACTGGAGTTTTTCATTAGATCTTATACAGAGCAGTATTTTACTAAAAATCCAAAAGGGAAGACTTTTATGTGCGCATTTTTGTAGTTTCTGATTTTTTTAAAATAACTTTTCATTGTTTATCTGCCAAGTGAAATGTTTTAAATTTGCATATGAATGGATACAGAATGTATTTTTTGTGCTGTTTAGTGTTAAGTGTGCATTTGCAGATTTTTAGCATGTAGTTGCACAAAGGACTGTGCAAAGATATTTTAAAATATGAATATATGATACACTGAAGGAAAAACATTCATAAAAGTTAAATGCTATATAAAACTTTAATGCAATAGAATAATTTTATAAATTGTGTCTGTGTCTGCTTGGATTAAATATTGGAACAAGAAACATTACTTATTTTCACTGTTTTATTTTCAAATACTATATGGGAACTTCTGTATGCTCCAAACCAAAATTTTAAGATGCAAATTAAATCTCTTGAAGCCCAATTTCTGTGATTCTCAGAAGCGGCAACCACCCACCCCTGAGCTGTTTCTTGATGGCTTTCAGCTACTACTCACTTAAAGATAGGAAGCTTGTTAAAAAGACCATTGGTCACTTTGCAATTTAATGCATGTAACTAGATATTCATCTTCCAAATTTTCTTTGGCCTTTGTCACCCATTAAATTAAAAAATAATATTAAAAAAGCTATATAAAAGGCAGTAAGATTACTTCCAGTAAGTTCAGTCCTAGTGGTTCTTAACAAGGTGTGAAAAGAACTGGTGGCTGAAAAACAGGAGAAAAATAGGAGGAGCCATAGATACCTGGAAAGATTTGATACTCTAATGTGAAGCCTTTTTCTGTACCTGGAGGAAAACACTGTGCTGAGATTTTTGGCACAGTATAGTTACCTCGTTTGTAACAAGGCTTCTGAATGAAGCAGAATGACAATTTGCACTAAAACTGGTGTAATGTGTTTGAACTTCTTCAAATGGCAAGTTACACTTCATAATTAGATTTCCTCATCTCCCCAGTAACAGCAGGTTTTTTAAATTAAAAGTTACCAACCTACTATTACTAGATTTTTCCCTTATCTTAGAGCGGGTAAATAATTTTTTTCGCCTTTATGTATATATACCACGCGCGGAGTTTTGTTCTCTTTGACCAGTTACCTCTAAGGTTATGTTCAAACTCTGCCTGTCGTTCCCTTTTAGAGCATAATGAACACTGTAGTCATGCCAGTTAATTCTTAGTATCTTTGGTTGTGAGTTATGAACTTTATTAGGATCTGTCTTTTGCAATCCGCGGCATCAGCTTTTCATGTAGAGAGGTTATTTGCCTTCTCATAGGTTATGGTGTGAATTAGCTTGTTTAAAGCAACTAGTATAAAGAATGGAGAACGCTCTTAACGTGACGAGCTGCTGCAACTTTGCGTAACAATATCCTGTATAGAACAACAGTCTGGTTGGTATATACATTCAGGTCATATTACTCAACATGAAGGTACCAAGATACAATCTTGCATTTCTTAAGCTGTCTTCAAATTATTAAGTCGATGGACTCTTAAGTACTGCAGTTGTCCTGCATGGCAAGTTCTGCTGCCTTACTTTCCCCATCTCAATATGTAGGACTAAAGAAAATTAAAATAAATTAAGTTAAGGGGTAAGTTTTCAAAATGTATCAGTTTGTGCATAATAAATCTTGCATGGACACTACCATTCAAAACTTAAGTGACTTTTGTTCAATTTAGTTCACCTGAACTACTATATAGATGACCCCAGAGAGTGAGGAATCTCAAAGAAGGAATGGTTGTTTACAGTAAGGGATTTTTTTATTCTTTTTATTTTATATGTGATCTCCATATGTATTCCATAATCAGCCTTCCTTACTACTGAGAGACAGTTATGTTCTTCTCTTTCTGTCTCTGGAAAGGGGACACAGTGACACCAAGGGCATAAGGGCAGTCTGAATACACACTCTTGGCCAAAGAATCCAAATTCAGGTGCATGAGGACCCATGAATATTGAGACTGTAACTGATACGTATTTTGAAGAATCCAGTATCATGAGGTAAGTAGCTGCTGTTTTACTAACCAAAGAATCTGTGGTTCCAGCAACAGTTCCTTATTGCTGCCAATTTTTAAGAGGGTGTTTACTCTCTTTTTCTGTAACTTAGAAATTTCCTGTTTCATTTCTGCTTTGAAAGGCAATACCAATCAAAGAGAACCAAAGGAGACGCAATGCCATCAAATGCAAACAGAAAACTTGGTTCCTGTTATTTGAAAGGACAGATAAAGTATTTTTCATTAAAACTACTTTTTCTGGTAGAACTTGGTTGGTAAGTGTTACTGCATCAGCATTGCCTTATGAAAGTTGATAATCATCTTCTGTCCTGTATTTTGTGTAATGGCAAGAAAGACAAAGGCTGGCAATCAAAAGCCAAAATGTCATTTTTGTGCCAGTACCAGGAGCAAGAAAATTCCAAGTCAGCAACTTTTAGCATGTTGAGGGTTACAGGTTGGTGATTTATTTCGGAGTAACTTATGCATGTTTTAGATTTAGCACTAATTTTGGGGTAGAAGGTGACGTTTACTGTTGGCTCCTGATGTTTCTTCTGGTACATATTACTTTGAAACAGCTGAAATGTTCTGTCAGTCATTGAAACTTAACTCAGTGGGATAAATGGAGAACTGTATAGGCTGCTGGAACCCTAAGTTTACTGCGCCTATATAGAGATGGTTTGTCCTTCTAGTTTTTTCTCTGTTCAAATTTTTTTCTTTTCCTTCCTCTTGGTTCTTTAATTCTTCCTTTTTTTTCTTTTTAAAGTGGCTAGGTCTTACTGAAACAATAGTTCTTAACTGGTTTTTCATCCCTTTAGTCTGTAGTATATCCATTCTCTTGTTTTTCTATTTAAGCTTCACTGATGACCATTTTCCTCTCTTTAAGATTTTTTCCTGTGAATTTCCAGACTTTTAAATCAATTTTCTTTTAAAGAGCTGTTCACCCCTCCATTTTCTAGGTACAAATGACCATCACATGTATGCACACACACACGTATATACAGATATGGGACTCAATCTCTTATTTTCACAAAGCTGTTCCTAGTTCTGTCACTTACAGTTCACATCATAATTCCAGAGGATGATGGACATTATGTCATATATACACATTGTACCTCTCATAATGTAGTTATTACTTAGGATGGGTTAAAAGCATAGGCAAATAATGAAACATTAACAGAATAAGTTCAGCAGCTTCCACTTCACTTGCTTTGGTAGATAAATTCTTGGCTTAAAAATTTGCTTGTCCTCATCCTCTGTCAAAGGTTACTTCTGTCACAGGGCTGGCGGAAGGGAAGGACTGATGTGCCTTGGGCACAGTGCAAAACCTCACCTGTGTGGGCATGGTTCTGATGTGCAATTCTCTAGTGAAAATGCTGGCTTAACCGGCCTCCTATTACCTGTTCCCACTGGATCGTGCCAAACTGTATCGCCACATTATGAACCGTATCAAGGAATTAATCTGATTGAAACTCCTTCCCCCATGTTATTTTTCAGCCTGATAGTTCGCTGTGGAGCCACAAGAACAGCTGTGTTGGTACAACAGTTCGCAGTGTGAGGGCGGGATGATTTAGCAAGAATGGAACTGCTTAGGAAACATCCCATTGCTGCCTAAAATTCAAATTACACACAAAGCTAAAATGCTAGATTGACTGATGTCATTGTCTGTGGTTCTGTCTCTTGACTTCAAGGAGTGGTAGATTCTGGCAGGAGTACAGGAGGAACTGCTGAGAATGGTCATATGGCAGATTATTGCAGCAAAAATTGCCAAAAGGTCATCACTTCCATTTTGGGCCATCTATTAAGTTTTCAGGCAAGGCTTAATGAATGATGTATGTGGGCTGCACCAGCAGTAGAAATTAGTGGGCTCCCTCTTTCTTTAAACAGAAACTGACTAAGGACACTGAAGTCAATGCTTTCACAATCTTAAAACGTGTTAAAATAGAGCTAAGGAAGTGAGTAAATGGGGTAAATATAAAAAAAAAAAGTGAGTAGAAAGGGTAAATAAGCATTTGATGAAGCAGTAGAATGGTAGATGTATCTTGGCAAAATACAGCTAAGGAAGGGAAGTTAAAAAAAACACATGCATTCCGAGTTTTGGGTCTTCCTTTCCTAGATTCCAGTAGCTGGAATCCTGTTATAACCACCAGTGGCAAGTTTGAGTCTTACTGTAAGCCTGGGGTGAGCGAAGAGGCTCCTACGTATCAGTAGGGTAGCGTAACAGAAATGCACCTGAGAATACTTCTATTTAAAAGAAAAAATAAGTTGCCCATTCCAAATACAGTTTAATAATTTTGAGATTTTAATTAATAATCTGGTCCTAGAAAATGTCAATATGTTTTCTTCCTAGTCATTAGGTCTGCTGGATCTGTAGCACCCCCATCTCTCAAGGTCTATTTTAACCTGGATAACTGGGACAAACCCCTCTTGCTTGGCATGGTCTGAAGTGTACTTGTCACTGACTGGAACACGCTGAGCGTGGTGACAGTGCTTACAAATATTCTCTATAAATTACTTAGGGTGTGGATTTTGCCATCACTACCAGTGATGGATGATCTTGTCCCTGATGTTCTGCTGTTTGTTTGGTTTTGCTTCATAATAACCCCTTTCCTTTGCTACAGCATTGGCCAAGTCCCTGGAGTGCCTCCACTCCTTCATTTGGTTTGATTTTCCAGTAAAAGATAAGGCCAGTCACGCTTTCCAGAGACAAAAGCAGCTGAGGATTTCAGCAGAGAAGATGCAGAAGTATGAGACGTGGCTGCTGCATCAATTGGTGCGTGACCCCAGGTGTGTGAATTCTCAGCCTCCTGAGCAGTGGAAACGGTACCTGCATGCTCTCACTCCAACAGGGAGACAAGGGTGGTAGCAGAGGGTACACGGGCTGCTTATCGCTGTTGGGAGGGTGTAGGTCCATCTTCACTTCAAATTGAGTGTTTCTGGACTCTGCTAAGATGAACGTGGGATTTTTACCCACGTTGGCATTAAGATTTTTCTCTGAGGATGACAGAGGGTTTGGGTAGACAAAGAGTGCCTGTGTGGGAATGATATTATTGATGACAGAATAACATAAGCTAATGCCAGATAAGTCCTGTGTGGACAAGCTATGCATGTCTGAAAACCCGTTGCCTCCTTTATTGCATTGGTTTTATCACATTGCAAATAGAACAATAATATAAAACTGGTATTTCATAAGCCTCTCATAAATTGAGCAATTTCAATACTTGCTGTATAACTGAGATTTACACATGGACTGCAACTGTGCAAGTTGGTTCACGTTACCTTTTTCCAACATATATAGGGGTGTTCCTTTTCAAGGTGCATCTAAGTTGTTTTTTTTTATTAACATATTAAACAGAGCTTAAGATTTGCATGAAGAAATCGGCTTATGGTCACTTCAGTGGAATGGAGTGAAGCAGAGGGGTATGTATTTGTTACATTAAGAGCTTGTAAAAGAAAAAAGTAACCTGCAACTCCATTTTCGTTTTGAAGTTGTTTTTCATCTTGCAGTGAGATGGGCCCCGCTTGTATTGGTACTGTAAAAAGATGAAGGATGTCTAGATGCATTTCCCCAATTTTGCTTGAGGCTTCTTAGTTTTTGAATGTTTGGAGAGGTTTTTAGTCTTTTATTCCGATTACACATGTTGAGTCTTATTTACAGCACTTTCTTCATGAGTTCTAAATAATTTTTCTGTTAGTTTCAGTAAATAATGATTAAATTAGTTTGAAGAAAAATAGTCTCAATCAGATGTTAAGTACTTGATAACTTCATCTGACGTACATCTATTAGCTGTATGTCAAGAGATTATAACTTGTCAAGTTATAGTCAAAGAGAATATAGAAGTCAAAGAGTTGGTGACTTTTTAACGTGTAGCTCCTTTGGGAGGAGAGAGGAAGCAGCCATTCCTTGGCTTTCTGTTTCACGTGCCTTCCGTTCCCTGTGATCCGAACCCTTGTCCCAGTGACCTCTGGAACTGCCCGGGTGAGGTGAGAGCTCTCCTTATGTGGCTTTCGCTCTCCTTATGTGCTTTTCCTGCTCTAAGGTATTCCAGGCTTAAAGATCCAACAACATTGGACTTTTATCCCACATAAAATCATTTGGTTTTTCATAGTGCAGTTTTTTGTAAGAGGGGCCAAACAGAAGTGCAAGGGAAAATACTTTCTATGTTTTGGTTTTTTTTTTTGCTTTTCCTGCTCTAATTAAATGGGGAGTTAAAACTAATTGACTAATTCTTCTTATCAAATTGGGGTAAAAATGAAATTCTACTGATACTAGTTTGGGGCTGAGCATCCTGAATCTTGTTAACTAAGGGCATTTCTGTTTGTTCCTGCTTAAAAACCACTACCCCATTTAGGAGCGATAAGGGAACGTTGCTGTCACTAACTCTTTTCCAACAGTAATTTTAAATGTGTTTCCCTTTCTGCAGGAAACTGATGGCAGCAGAGAATTGATGCAGATGAAGGTTTCTTATAATTACATATAATTTGTTTACTGGCACTCACTACTGGCAAATCTCAGACTTTCATCTAGGGGAGAGATTGATTACAGCTTTGGATTTTATTCCTGTGTTGTGTGCTCTCGTCACTTGTACGTCCACTCAGACCCGTTTTCATCCCTGGGATTCAGGATATTCAGTCTTCTCCATCAGCAGTGCTTTTGCTGGGCACGTACGTGTGGAACAGTGGGAGTAAATAGAGCAAATAGTGGGGGTAATGGGGATGTTGAGTTCAGGATCGAGTCTGAGAGTATTGAAAGAATTGGATTCATTTGTTGCCTCAATATATGCTGTGTGAGGCTCATAAAGGGACATTGCCCCTCGCACACTTCCCGTAGCAGATGTTGGTTGTTCCCAAACCCCAGCTCTGGGCTGACCCTGTCCTGGGCGATAGGGCTGGATGGAGAGAGGGCTTTGGGTGGGATGGTGGCTCGGGGACAGTTCTGGCACCACGAGGAATATTTTACATCCTGTATTTCAGAAAAGCTTTAACAGTTTGGTGTTTAAAAGCTCTTTACGAGCATTTGGTGGTTTTGCTCTGTGTGTGTGGAATCCCGGTGCCAAGAGCCCCGAAAAGGCGCCGTCGCTACCGGGGATCCAGCCCGCCCCTCCCGTGAGGGCACAGGTGCCTCCGGCCCCGCCAGGCCCGGGGTCCGC